TGTGAGTGTGTGTGTGTGTGTGTGTTTGTGGGGGCGGTTGTCTATGAGTGTGTTTTGTCTTTTTTTCTGTTTTTTGTGTTTTTCATTTTTCAACATACATATGAACTTAAAAAAAACAAAAACAAAAAAGGGTTGTAGATCTCCAAAAGATCTCCAACCTTATACTTTTTTTAATTTGTTTTGTTTATTGGTTACCTACCAAACAATCTCCGTGAAAAAAAAAGAAAAACCCACCCATTTCATCTTTTTTTTTTTGTTTTTTTCTTTCTTTTTACGTTTTTGATTTTTTTTTTAAATATAGCAAAAGTTCAGAAAATAAAATAGAAAATATAGGGTTGTAGATCTACAGCCCTATATTTTTTGTTTTTTTTTTTGAGCATTTTTTACCCCCCAAAAAATTATCCCTGCTCCCGCTCAAACCCCGCTCAAGGCGCTTTGAGCGCAGGACTCAGTGGTGCTCAAAATGTTTAGCGCCGACTGCGCGCTCAATCAGCGCGCGGTTTCACAGGCAAGTGGGACCTCGCCGCCTGTCCGCTTCATCTGATGATATCTTCTATTTTCTTTTTCTTTTTTTTTCCCCTTTTTTTAACTAATGTTATGACCCTGGCCAATTTGGAGATACACATCCACTGGAAGGTACAATGCCATCCAATTGCAGAAAGAAATGAATGAACTTGAGAGGAGAGAGAGGAGTAGAAGAAGAAGAAGAAAGAAAGAAGAAGAAGAAGATGTACACCAGCTAAGACAATGACAAGGCTCTTCTTCTTCGCCCAACAATCTCCTCCTCCTTATCTCCCCCTTGTCTTATTCATACAAGAAAAACCATAGCCATGGCCGCCTCCCCCACTCTTTGCACACATAGGCCGAGGGTATGGCGGACTACTAGGCCTTGCTCCGATGTCCAAAGGACAACGCAGAGCAGCTATGGCTGCTCCAGCTCAGGCCGCCATGCCCAGCCCTGCCTTGAAGCTTCTTGGTGTAGCTTCCCCCGGCTGGGGACTCCTTGCAGCAGCGCCCACCAAGGTGATGAAGATGGCTGCAACCATAGCCAGGTAAGTACCCCTGGCGCTCCTCCCCCTTCCTACTTCCTTCCTCCTTCTTCCTCCCTCTAGTCCTTCGTCTTCCTCCCCAGCAGCGCAGCTCCAGCCCAGCGCTGCTCCCTCCAGCGCTCCACCAGTGTGTCACCAAACTTGCACACCGAAAAAGAGGCCAGGTCTTCGCCCGGCCGGAAGATATAGCGGCCTGCTTTGCCTCTTGGGCGGCGACTTCCAGGCCGCTGGCCTTCCCAAGCAACCGGTACGTCTTCCTGCTTTTGGAGGGAACATCATTGCAGACTCTGATATTGCCCCTACAGGCCCTCGACTCAGACTGGTACCCGCTAGACCTAGCCTACACTACCGGCCTCTAAAAATGTCACTTTTGTCTTCTTCTGCTCGGCCTCCGGTACCTGCATATTTACCCCCCTGCCGGGTGCGGTACCGGCCTACCCGTTACTTGAGTGCTTTTTCCCTGCTGCAACCCTTCGAAGCCACGGCCACAGGTAAGTACCGGCCCTGAGGGCCCAACGAACGAACAAGTGCCCTGGCGGGCCACACACACACACACTCATACCAACCAGCACTCAGACAGGCATGGTCACACACGCAAGCCAACCAGCACTCAGACAGACATGCAGTCCAGCAACTGGCAGCAAGCACACACACACACAGACTTAGCAGGCGGGGAACTCAGTAGGGCATTCAGTCTATGAGCAAAACTCAGAAATCAGCGGTGTGTTTCAGTCCGTGTTCGGACGGGTTATCACACTAACCTATATTTTTGGGAAAGGTTAAAGAAATCTCCACACGACGAGACTTTGCGTTTTTTTTTTGTTTTTTTTTTAACTATATTATTCTCTCAAGGTAGGTAGTGTAAGATGAAATTGAGACCTTTGTATTCATCTGACCCCCAACGGGGGCAAAATGTGTCGCTGGCCCTAAAATGACTCTGCCTTCATTTTTGCACCCCCATAAAACACCACACGCGCGTTATTTGCTGGGCTGCCTGCGATTGTGTCCACAAGAGAAGATTCCTCGAAGCCCAGTGGGAACCACCCCGTATCTTGAGAAACCCAGTCAAGCCCACGGGGTCGTGGAGGTGGAGGCAAGCGAAGCTTTTGAGAAGGGGATGGCAAGCCACTCAACTTATGAGAGTGAGCATGGACGTCGACGACGCCGAATGTTCATAGATTTGAACACCTCCCGACCAAACCGACTCAACAGTTTTACAAAAGATCATTACCCTCTCCCCTCATCAACCCTTCTCAGGGACAACTTAAGGCTTAGACAGGCAGAGCCTATATCACCTGGTTTGCATATGATTGTGACAAGAAGAGAAGGTGAACCTGACTATCCTGCTTGTAGGACCATGGACCCAACCGATGAGGCAGGTCCTTCTCTCTCACTGGAGATATGTCAATGCAATGGGAAGTGCATGAGAGATTGTTCCTGCAACTTGCTGAAAGACTACAAAGATGCAGTGTAATAAACTCTATGGCTGTGAACCATCAAATTGCAGTAACATGGGTATCATGGGGTATTTTTCCACTATTTTACGTCACTCTCTGGCAAAAATGTACGCAGCAAAATTCAAACTTGTAAGGTGGTAAACCCTATGCATGACGAGGATCCAACCGCCGGGAAACAAGTGGTCAGACAAGAGATGTGGTTGGTTCCGGTTACATTGGAAAATGACTTCATTTTCAGTGAGGAAAAGAAATTGGAGGAGAGTCAGGAGACGAGCGGTGAGGCTCCTGTACGGGGGCGAGAGCGCGGTGTTGTGGCAGAATCAACTTGGAGGCCACTAACGGATATTAGCAACATTGCTAAAAATTGGCATGGGCACTTTAATAGTAAGAAGAAATATCAAAAAATTGTTGTGGATGATGAGGAACTGATAGAATGTGTGAAACTTAGTCAGGCGAGTGGAGGCAACCGTAGAAGAGGTGGTGCCTGTAAGGGCAGCGAGAGGATTGAACCCTCGTCTACCCTTCCCAGGGACAAGTTAATGCTTATAGAGGCAGAGCCTGTATCTGTTGGGCTGCCTGCGACGGTGTCCACAAGAGAAGATTACTGGAAGCCCAGTGGGAACAATCCCGTGTCTTGAGGAACCCAGTTCAGTACCACGGCATCCTCACTGGTTCCCGACATAGGTGGAGGCAAGGAGGGTTTTTGAGAGGGGCTCGCAAGCCGCTTAACTCATCATAAGATTGAGTATGGACGTTGATGCCGCCGAATGTTCAGGGACTGAAATAGCTCCCAGCCAAACCGACTGAAGAGTTTTACTGAAGATCGTTACTATCTTCCCTCATCAACCCTTCCCAGGGACAACTCAAGGTT